AGGGCGGGCACCTACAGGTTGCCGCCGGCCGGAGGCGCAGCTTATCACCGAGGGACAAGCCCCTCCCCCGCGAGGCCCCGCCCCGGCCGCCCGAGCGGCGAGGCGAGGGCGAGGCGAGGCGCGGCTTCGCTGCTCCGGGTGGGCGCGTTTCCGACGGCGGCTGCGGAGGGGAGCGCTGGACGAATCGGGACTCCGACAGCGAGGCGGCGTAGGGAAGGGCGGCGCCCGCTGCTCCTCCCCTGGCAGTCGCCCTAAGCCCAGCGGGAAGGGGTCCAAGCGAGCCGCTGACCTTCGCGCAACCTCCAGCTTCGCACGAATGGCGGAGCCGAGCGCCAGCCCGGGGACGCGTCTGAGCTCAGCTGCTGCTGCCGCTGTTTCTGGCGTCTCCCGCCCCAGGAATGGAGGGCGGTGGCGTCTTCCTTTCTCTCTCTCCGCTTTGGGGGGCTTTTCCCTGCTGCCCAGGTGGAGGCGCACCAGTCTTCCGGGACCTTTCCCTTGCACACACCCCCCCGCCCCCATACTCGCCTGGATCAGCCTGCTTTTCGGCAGGGCGTTCTGCTCCCAGCGGGTCCTTCCTTTCCTCGGTGTCCTGAGGCTGTTCTTCAAGGGGCCCTCCCACTGCCAGGGAGGCCTGGGTCTCGCTGCTCTGTACTGCAGAAGGGCCCCTGAGGATGGCACAGGTGGGCGCTGGGCCTCCTCAAAGGCACCAGCTGGCTTTCCTCCCCCAGGAGGCCACAAGGGGAGCAGATGTAGTGTTTCCAGGCCAAGAAACCCCCATCTCAGAGGTGTGCCCTATATTTTTCACCATTCAGTATAACGCCTTACATTTGTCCTTGTTGAAAGAAGGGAATCAGCCCTTTTTTTCCACCTGTCCAGATGAGACCGCAATCCCATGCTGTCTGCCTTTTGTCACCAGCCCAGCCCTGCCTTTGGGGGGCAGAGGGTTCCGGTCACCGGCCAAACAAGGTGCTGGATGGCGGGGTGGAGCTCCTGAGGAAACAACAGAGGAGAAGATCAGAGGGTCCTCTGCCGAGGCTTGCCAGGGAGTCCCATGGTGGCCAGCTCATGTGGCAGGCAGGGGTCAGCTTTGCTGTCTGCACTAACCCCACATCAGGAGGTGGCCTGCAAAGAGCCTGTTTCCTTCGCCTTCCTGGATCTCTCCGGTAACCTTTGTGGCCCCTGACAAGACCCCACTTTGAAAGAGTTTGGTCCTGAGAGATCTGCAGTGGAGAGCTGGAGGGAGGGAGAGGGGAGCAGCTCTGAAGATGGGGAAGTGAGAATCTCCCTGAATTTGGGCCAGGAGCTGCAGCCCCTCCTGAGAAGGGGATGAACCTGGGCGGTTGGAATGGGGCTCCCTTGAAGGAATTGGAGCAGCCCCTGGGTGCCACGCATGGACCACTGCCTGCTGCCATGCCAAGGGGCAGGTCCTCTGGGCTGGAGATTTTGAGGCCCGCTGGTGAGAAGAGGGAAGGGGCTGAGTGCTGGGTGTCACCCTCAGCAGCTGACGAGTACGCGGGAAGCAGGCCAGCTGGGGACGTTGGGCACAAGCCTGATGCTGGGGGAGTGGCCCAAGCTGGTCCCACCACCTGGCAAAGGGAGGGAGGTGCCTTAGCTCTGTGTAAACGCTTAGCTGCTTCCTGCAGTTTTGGGGGAACACCCCCTCTGCCCCTCTGCACCCATCATTGGTGATTCCGACCCATGGGAGGGGGCTACCTTCCTGTTGCCTTGGCTGCCTCTGCTGCCGGGGGCATCTTTGAAAAGCATGGAAATCATGGCTGCTGGGCAGGATGACTCTGTGTTCCCCAGGATCAAAGGCTGTGGGGGCAGCTGCTGGGGAATGTGATTCCTGGGCCCTGTTGGGAAGTGTGGCCCCAGTGGAGCCCTTGGGAAGAGGAGGCCAGACCAGGCACTTTGGGCAGCTCCTGCCTTCACAGCAACGACAGGCTCTTTCTCTGTGCCCAAGCAAAGGGACTTTGGTCTCCCGGACCAGCAACGTGGGCATGACCCCCTCCCGCCAGAGGTGCTGAAGAGACCGTGTGAAGATGTCCTCTGCTGTGGCAGCTGGAGCTGGTTGAGGTTTAAGGGGCACCCCTGGAAGACTGCCGCCAAGGGACCCCACAGCAGTTTCCTATGCCAGGGAGTGGGACCGGTGGGGGCAGGAAGAGGCCACAGACACCCAAGGAGCCTCCCTGCTGCTGCCTCTTCACTGAGGCTGCCCTTGCTGCCTTCCCAGCTGGGTTGAGAGTTCACGAACCGTCTCGGGAGGCTTTGCTCTGGCGCTTGCAGCAGCAGCAGGAGCAGGAGCAGCAGCAGCACCATAGTGGATGACAGAAGCAGAAGCTCTTTCAGCAAAATCAGCAGAAAGTGCTTGCAAAAACTTGTGATTAATTTTATTAAAAATAAACAGAACACTGTGGGCTGCAGTTTAGCAAAATTGTAAAGCAAAGTCTGGTTTTAAACTAGGACAGGTTTTAAAATCAAAGTCTGAAAGCTTCATTTCCAAGTTTCAAAAAACCATCAAATAAATTTTTCTGAAATACTGAACATTTGCATTCTTGTTTGTGGCAGAAATGCTTCTGTGTAACTCAGACCGAAATTGTAAGCAGCTGGTTCTGCAGGTAGGCTGGCAGCCCAAAGCAGGCATTAGGTGGGGGTGGGAGTGGGGGTGAGCAGGAGACCATCATTTTGTGGCTGCCGTGTGTCCTCCGGAAGGTATTTCCTGCTAGCGGCCCCTAGCCCTTTTCTCCTCTGCCCGGCAGCTCTGCAAATACTGTTGCCTGAATCAAGCAGCCTTCCAAGGAATCCATCCGTCTGGAAAGAGCAGGCTCCATGCCTCTGGAAACTTGGTTTGCCCCCTCCTCAAGAGGCCATTGCTAGACCCCAGTATACTGGACAATTTTCATCCAGTATCTGACCTCCCCTTTTTGGGGAAGGTGGTTGCGCAACAGCTTCAGAGGACCTTGGATGAAGCGGATTATCTGGATCCCTTTCAGTCGGGATTCAGGCCTGGGTATGGGACGGAAACAGCATTGGTCGCACTCTTGGATGATCTCTGGCGAGGGCGGGATGGGGGTTGTGCATCCGTCCTTGCCCTACTTGACCTCTTGGCGGCTTTCAATACCATTGGCCATGGTATCCTGGATCAGCTCAGAGGACTGGGGGTGGGCGGCACGGTGTTGCACTGGTTCACCTCCTTCCTCCAGGGCCGATTCCAGTTGGTGGTGGTTGGGGAGGAGAGATCCAGCCCTCGGCCCCTCTTATGTGGGGTGCCACGGGGTTTGGTGCTCTCCCCCCTCCTACTTAACATCTACGTGAGGCTGTTGGGTGAGCTTATCCGTCGCCATGGGGTGAGGTATCATCAGTATGCTGATGATACCCAATTATACATCTCTGCCCATGGCAAATTAAGCAATGCTGTGAATGTTTTATCCCGGTGCCTGGAGGCTGTGGGGGTCTGGATGGGGAACAACAGGCTTCAACTGAACCCTGGCAAGACTGAGTGGCTGTGGGTTTTGGGGCCTCCTGGTGCTAGAGTTATGGCATCTTTGGTACTGAATGGGGTTGCAGTGCCCCAGACAGACCCTGTGCACAATCTGGGGGTCCTCCTGGACCCACGACTCCTGCTCAAAGAGCAGGTGGCAGTCGTGGCTAGGAGGGCCTTTGCACAGCTTCATGTTGTGTCGCTCATGCCCTGGCCACCTCCGTTTGGATTTCTTTAATGTGCTCTACATGGGGCTGCCCTTGAAGAGTATCTGGAAGCTTCAACTGGTGCAAAATACAGTGGCGCGGGCAGTTATGTGCGCCCCTAGGGCGGTACTCGTTACACCTCTGCTCCGCGAGCTGCACTGGCTGCCAGTTTGCTTCCGGGTCCGATTCAAGGTGCTGTTTTTGACC